AAAAATATTTCTGAAGACAATCACCTATTGCACCTTTATACTACTAAAAATCAAGATTTTTCTTATTTTAATCCAGGTCCCCATTGTCTTGGAAATCCTGAAAATAGGTAGTCTCATTTTTAAAAATGTGATTTCTAGACCTAAATTAATAAAAATCTTAAAAATCCATTTGTATCTATTTTATAATTAATATACATTTTCTAGTTATGCCTATATCCAATGTACCAAAATATTTTATTAAATGTATTTTTAGAATATGTGAGGGAAAAAAAATTCTTAATCTTTATTTGGTAAATCATGAATGAATGTAAAAGTCATGTGAATTTGTTGGTTAAAGAGTGAGAGTTCATAAAACTTCTGGAATCCCTATAATAGTATCGGAACAATATGATAGGCCTTGGAGTCATAAAAAATTGAGAACCAATAATCTAGAAACATTAATTATGCATATGAATACGGCATGTTGCAACACTGATCTGCAACCATAAACAAATAAATAACAAGATTTTCTTTTCATCTTGTTTGGGACGTGTTCCGCCCTGTATTCTCACATTACTCCAGGTGTCATTGTTTCTCTCACATGTGAATAACCTAAAGCAGTCCTACCTATTGAATAGAGCCAGAATATATCTATTAAAGTATAAACATTTAACATTATTGTAGGAAATGTCAGGTTGACCCTTTGACCCTAACCTCAGGTTCTTATCGTGACTGTCTTTACTCACAAGAATGTGGTTTTTAGTGACGTGTGCATATCTTAGATGTGTGTGTGTGTGTGTATTCTTGAAACCACTGAAGTGGGGATGAAGATCTTGTGATATAGACACACCCTCTCAAAAATGGGCCACTGCAGCATGCAGACGCAGCTGATTTCAGGATTCACACATACACACACACACGCAAACACACACACATACACGCACACCCACATGAAATACACACACAATAGTACTTTGTCTTTCCCTGTAACAACTTCAAAACAGGGACTCCTGTTTCTCCAGTCTTGTGTGAAGAGAGATTTTTATTTTTGCATATTGGTTTTGCAGATCTCAGTGTGAATTCAGTGGAACCTTCCTGTATCCCTTTGAGTGTGTGTGTGTGTGTGTGTGTGTGTGTGTGTCTCTGTGGCCCCTGGCCCCACCCCCTGGTCCCTCCCCTTTATTGTGAAGAGTAGCACTGAACTTCCAGCTGAGCTTCAGTATTGAAGCAGACAGAGTCAAAGCGTCCTTCACCTCCCATTCCATCCTTCTCCCTTTCTCCTCCTCTGTCTCTCACCTGACGCACATATGAGACAGTGAGTGAGCAGCATGCGGAGCTGGAGGTCGTGTTGCTCTTGTGGAGTTTGTCTCAGTTGGATTTTGGGAAAGATTCGCTGTTGTGATGGCGCAGGTGCGTAACTCAACACGCTGGAATGTATGCAGATGCGTTCAGCTGAATTTTTCTTTTCGCAGTGTGTGGAAGCATGTGGATTTGTTCATGTTGCCCTGTGGGAGTTGGCTGATGTGTGTCTGGGTTAATGATTATGTTTGAGTTTTGTGTGGTGGTGGAATTGTATGTGCATCTTTTCATCTGAACTCTGGTATTTAATGTAACGGTTCACTGATCGGAATCCTGGAGATCTCAGATGAGCTCATGGGTGTTTTGTGTGACTGATGGTTGGCTGATAGGCTGATGGTTATTTACAGACAACAGGGTTTGGTGTTAAATGCAAGATCATTGATAATTTTAGCAGTGTTGTCACTTTAGTGAGTTCGTTTGGAGGTTGACAAGCATTTAAATTGTAAAAAGTGAAAATATGCAGTTGTTACTTTCATCCAAAGCAAATTACAGTGAATGTAGAGGATATATTTTATCAGTCCATGTGTTACCTAAGAATTGAACCCATGCCCTTGGTGTTGCTAGCGCCATGTTCCATGAGTCGCGCCACAGAAACACCTCAAGGAGCTTTTTTTTTTCTTTTTCTTTTTTACCCATCTGACCCTTAAAAATGACTTTCTCTGGTTCGACCTCATGCGGTCAGGTTACAGTTGTATTATAAAAAAAATGATATTTTTGACATTTGACCCTTTTTTACTTTATCTTTCATGTCTTCTGTTTTTTTTTTCTTTTGAAAGCATAATTAATTAAAAGTGTTAATGAAAAATATAAAATACTGTGTCTGTCTGTGAGTATGTATTGTGTCTGTGTGTGTGTGTGTGTGAGCAAGAGAGAGAGGGAGTGTGTGTGAGTGACTGTGTGTGTGTGTGTGTACTGGTTTATATATCCTGGTGGGGACTTAAACCTGACTACACACAGACTCATGGGGACTCGTGTCACGGTGGGGACCTAAATTGTGGTCCCCACGGGTACAAAAGCTTATAAATCATACAGAATGAAGTTTTTTGAAAATCTAAAAATGCAGAAAGTTTCCTGTGAGGGGTAGGTTTAGGGGTAGGGTTG